CCCTCAGTTCCAGCTTCTTCCTTTTTTTCCCCCAGTCTTTTTATCAACTCTAGTGTTGGGGATTAGACACAAGGCCTTAGGCTTGCTAGCTAGGTAAGTGCTCTACCACTGAACAYAACCCCCAGCCCTATCTCTGGTCTTAATTTGCTCTTTTGTAAAGCTTTAGTAACAGCAATTGTCTGCTTAATCAAAGTGCRTTAAAAGATTCACCAATAAAGTGAACAAATTATGAGTTCAAAGAGGTGGGCTTGCATTAAAAAAAAATGATTTCCAGTCACTCCAAGACTGATATTAAAAAGATAAAAATCAGGGACTGGGGATGCAGCTCAGTGGTACAGCACTTGTCTATCATGTGTGAGGCACTGGGTTTGATTCTCAGTACTGCATATAAATAAATAGATAAAAATTAGGGATTGGGGATGCAGCTCAGTGGTAGAGTGCTTGTCTAGCACACAAAAAGCCCAGGGTTCAATCTCCAGCACTGCAAAAGGAAAAAAAAAGAAAAAAAAGATAAATTTTTTTTAAAAAATACAGAATTATGCCCAGCTTCTGTATTTTTTAAAAATTTTATCTTTACTTTGATGTGCACTTGTATTCCCATCTACTTGGGAGACTAAGGCAGAAGATTCACTTGAGCCCAGGAGATCCAGACCAGCCTAACCAACACAGTAAGTTGTTGTCTCAAAGATAAACAAAAAAACGGGATTTATGAAGGGTTTCAAGATGGTGGTATAGAGAAGGTTGCTTTCCTGGCTGAGCATGGAATGAAACCAAGAAAGCAATTAGGCAGCTTTTTAGCAAGGTGACAAAGTGGACTAAGAATTGGCTTCTCTACTATAAGAGTGGAACTGGGGAGATCCCTGGTTACAGTCTTCCAGTGTGAACTGTCAAATGCTGGGCCCTGGAGGTGTGCCAGACCAATTGGCATTCAGTGAAGAGGCTGGAGTCCACCTAAGCCTAAACTCCACCTCCAAAGGTTCCACCTACGGGATTACCTCAATTCACCCACAAGGTGAGGTATCACATTGGTCCAGATGATCGCACCTAACACTGCTGAGAAGAGAAACTGAGAATCTTTTGAATTCCAATGGAAACAATTCTTTAACTTTTCATCAAATTTTTTTTCTTTTCTCTGTTTAATTGTGACCTTAATGGTTAATGGACATTTGTACATATTCATATTAGTATTCTTCTCACTTCTATCATTTTTGAAGCCAGTTATTTTTCATGGATCAATTTTTTTGAGGTCTAGGATGTTTGATTAGTCTATTACAATTTAGTTTTGTGTTCTTTTAATTTTTAAATTTTTACTTTATATATATTTTTTGTCTCAGCTGTTTCCCTTGATTCTTTTTTCTTTCTCTGACAGTCAATCTCTATTTTTTTACCCTTCCTTTAATTTTTTACTTCTATCTTCTCYTCTCTCATAATCATCATATCCTATATAACTCTGTTCTCTTCCTGTCCACCATTTGAAACTGTAAACCCTTTTGTAAACTTACTGTTTTTATTGTAGACAATAACTGGTCATATCATTTCTGTTTACTGTGTCAATTAATATTGTAGACATCATAGCTGGAACTATTTGGTTTAACATTGTATGTTGTTTGCATTGACTGTTGTTAAAAATTGTGCCAAACAAACTAAGGTACTCCAATAACAGAATCCAAGACACTACAGTGGAAGAAATGTCAGAGAATGATTTAGAATATACATAGTTAAACTCATATGTGAGGTAAAGGACAATGTAACAAGTGAAATCAGATAGAAAATACAGGAAAAGAAAGATCACTTCAATAAAGAGAGATTCTGAAAAAAGATCAAGAGAAATCCTCAAAATAAAGGAATCAATAAACAAAATTAAAAATTCAATGGAAGACATCACCAGCAGATTAGATCACTTGGAAAACAGTTTCAGGCAATGAAAACAAAAATATATAATCTTGAAAATAAAGTTGACCATGGAAACAAGTTGTTAAGAGATCATGAACAGAACTTCCAAGATATATGGGATAACACGAAAAGACAAAATTTAAGATCTATCAGGAGAGATGAAGCCTTAAAGATACAAACCAATATCAGAAAATTTCCCAAACCTAAAGAATGAAATGGAAAATCAAGCACAGGAGGCTCATAGGACCCTAAATAAATAAAATTGCAACAGACCCACACCAAGTCATATCACTATGAAAATACCTAACAGAGAAYGAGGATAGAATTTTAAAGGTTGTGAGAGAAAAACGACAAGTCATATTTAGAGGAAAACCAATCTGGATCTCAGCTGATTTCTCAACCCAGACCCTGAAAGGAGGTCTTGGAATAATATATACCAAAATCTGAAAGAAAGTGGAGGCCAGCCAAGAATACTATACCCAGCAAAATTAAGCATCAGAATTAATGATGAAATAAAAACCTTCCACGATAAACAAAAGTTGAAAGAATTTACACCTAGAAAGCCTGCACTACAAAACATACTCAATGAATTATTACATGAAGAAAAGTGAAAACCAGCAAAGGGAGGAACTACACTACAAGAATAGTCAATCAAAGGAGAAACTAATTCAAATTAAAAACCAGAAAATAAATCAAAATGACAGGGAATAAAAACCATTTCTCAATAATAACATTGAATGAAAATGGCCTCAACTCATCAATCAAAAGACACCAACTAGAAGATTGGATTAAAAAACAAGACTCAACAATATGCTGTCTCCAACAGGCTCACCTCATAGGCAAAGACATTCACAGACTGAATGTAAAAGGATGGGAGAAAATATATTATTCACATGGATCTCATAAACAAGCAGGGTTTCTATACTCATATCAGATAAAGTGAATTTCAAGCCAAAGTTAATCAGAAAGAACAAAAAAGGACATTTCTTACTGCTTAAGAGAATTATACATCAACAAGACCTAACAATCACAAATATTTATGCCCCAATGAAGTATCTACGTACATCAAATAAACTCTTCTCAATTTCAACAATYAGACCACAACACATTAATACTGGGTGACTTTAACACACCTCTCTCACCACTTGGATAGATCCTCCAAACAAAAACTAAATAAAGAAGCTGTAGAACTAAAAAATACAATTAATAATTTAGACTTAACTGACATATATAGAATATTTCAACTTCAACAAGAGAATACACTTTCTTCACAAATACACAAAAAAAATGGAAATAATACCTTGCAGTCTATAATAATTCAGATA